TTTCCAATTCTAGGAACAGAGCCTGAGCAGAAAGTTAACGGTCATGTTCAATGCAGGGGCCAGAAATCGGAATCCATGGCTGTGAGAGTGACTGAAAATTAATCCTGGAGAGGAAGGAACTCACGCAAAGGGTGAGCCCCAAATTCTACACACAAATAGTCCTGAAATAGGGGGTGGGTTCCTTAACTGCTGTGTATAGACGGACACTCCAAGAAATCTAGTGGGGAACAGCAGAAGTCGACTAAATTCCTAATGGATTTCAGCAGCCACGCCCTCTTTGCCCAGTCTGGCCAGGCAGAGGGTCTTGTAAACCCACCACCTCTGTTAGCGAATTAGGGAACTCACAGACAAGCCGTCTGAAAATACCCAAACTAAAGCACAGGAAGAGAAGGAGAAAGGAAGGCATGGAACAGAGCACAAGAAGTAGGTGTAAGGTAGTCAAATGGCTTAACATACATAGGATTGGAATTCCCAGAAGGCAAGGAGGGACCGAATAGGACAGAAGCACTATTTGAACAGAGACAAACAGAGGTTTCTCCCAAAGTGACTGGAGTGTTAAGCTCCAGAGTCAAGATCCTCCGCGAGGCCAAAGCGGCACACGTACCATGAAAACACAGGGAGGTCGTGACGGACATTTCAATCAAGGTCCGTCTTTTATTACCGCAAACGCAACCGTTCCGAACTTTCGCTTCACGCCCACATTTCTACACAAATGCGAGCACTTGGCTTGTGGGAACAAAATACTATGGTTGACAAATGGTGCTGGGAAAATGGTCTGGAGCCAGTTTCATTTCAAACGTTGTTGAGAAAGTAAAAACCGACCCCCCCCACCTGGTATTTTTCAGGATAAAAACCCCGCATTCGTTACAAAGCTAGACGCGCACACACAAAACCCCCACAAATGATGAGTCTATTAGAAGAGAGAACGTTGGGGGGCGCCTAGGTGCCTCAGTGGGTTAAGCGTCTGACTCCCATATCGGCTCAGGTCACGATCTCATGGTTTTGTGAGTCTGAGCCCCGTATGGGGCTCTCTGTTGACGGCACAGAGCCTGTTTAGGATTCTCTCTCTCTCTCTCTCTCTCTCTCTCTCTCTCTCTCTCTCTCTCTTTCTCTCTCTCAGAACAGCCTAACAGCTCCCAAAACCTAAGACAAAATCATCACCTAATCAATATTTGTCCAACTGCTGACTTAATCATCAGGTAAGATACTTCCGGGCAGAGCAACCGAGATGCAAATGAATAAAATACTTAACTTGCTTTAGAAAATTAATTGCTCTCCCCGCCTTGGCTCCTGCTTTACAAACCACTAGAATGTAGTGTCGGGGAGGAAGACTTCCTCCGCCCCGTGGTCCTTTGAGCTGGACGTAGAATCAAACTGATGTGAGACAGACTAACAGAGAAAATCCAATGTAATAGGCCTGCCTGCGGGGAATCCGCACAGGCTGGAAATTCCAAAGGCAATGAGGCAACTCGAAGCTTCTATGAGCTCAGGAGAGGGGTAGGGCCTGAGGATACAAAGGAGAAGAAGGCCATTAGCAGGAGGGAGAAAGGAGATGTCTGAAAACCAGGGTTGCCTTATTTCGCTGGTAAGTTTCCTAGGTAAAGGGGAGTCTCTGTTAACAGCTCTCTTCCGGGTACAGTCTCTCCTTTCCAATGCAGATTTCGGCAGTTGAGGGGGAGGCAGAGAGCTTCTCCTGCACCTGCTGGGTTTCGATTACTTTTAGTTTGAAAGTATGGCCAAGTGGCCCATGTTGGGGCAGCCTGCCCTTGGCGCCCTTCAGGAAATTTGTCAGAATATAGGTGGCAAAAGTCTGAAATCACACCAGAAAAAATCCTATGACATTTTACGTCGGCAAAAGTCAGGTCCTCGGGCTCCACAATACCCGCTCCAGCTCTTCCCAGTTGAGTAAATGGTGATAATGATAATACCTATTTACGGTATTTCGTTAACGTTAAACAGATTAACGTAGACATTTTTAGGATGATGCTTGACACATGGTTGTTCTCAATAGATACTAGGTTGGGATTATCACGATAAGAGCAAAAAATCAAATACAACAAGACAAGGGAAGATAAAGAGATAAAGAAGTATGGGCACGGGGCGCCTGGGTGGCGCAGTCGGTTGAGCGTCCGACTTCAGCCAGGTCACGATCTCGCGGTCCGTGAGTTCGAGCCCCGCGTCGGGCTCTGGGCTGATGGCTCAGAGCCTGGAGCCTGTTTCCGATTCTGTGTCTCCCTCTCTCTCTGCCCCTCGCCCGTTCATGCTCTGTCTCTCTCTGTCCCAAAAATAAAAAAACGTTTAAAAAAAAAAAAAAAAAAAGAAGTATGGGCACTAGGTGTTCCTGGGACTCTGTTGGTCACACATTCTTTCTGTAAAGGATCAGATCATAAATATTCTAGGCTTTGCAGGCCACAGGAGGTCTCAGTTCCATCTTCTTTCTTTTTTGCTACAGCCTTTTAAAAATATAAAAATCATTCTCAGCTCACGGGCCATACAAAGACCGGCCAGGTTTGGCACGGGCCAAGACGGCGGCTTCATTGTACTACTTACCAGGAGAAAGTTAATCACTGTAATAACTACACCGGTTAAGATCGGTTTGTGACACAGGGCGCCTGGGTGGTTCAGTTGGTTAGGCGTCCAACTTCAGCTCAGGTCGTGATCTTACGGTTCAGGCTCATGAGTTCGAGCCCTGCATGGGAGTTTCTGCTGTCAGAGCAGAACCCCCTTTGGGTCCTCTGTCTCTCTCTCTCTCTCTCTCTCTCTCTCTCTCTTTCTCTCTCTCTCTGCCCCTCCCCAGCATGTTCTGTCTGTCTTCCCCTCAAAAATAAATAAACATAAAAAAAATTAGTTTGTGACGACCTAACACTTGGATTCCTCATCATTTTATTATTTTCCCTTTGTGTTTGCATCTGTAGCATGAAAATAACTTGTCCTGATGGAAAAACAAAGTCCCTCAAACAATGTTTTGCATAATGAAAACAAGAGGCATAATAGTTAGGGTTTGGGAGAGTTGGGGTCTTTTTGTTTTGTTTTGTTAACTGTTCAGCCAATTATCTTCACAAAAGGTCATCATGTCCTCTACCTTGTTTTCCAGCTTCTTCCCAGGTCCGTTCTCCTGCTTTAGGATTGATCAGCTTCTACTTTATTCCACCATCTTCTTTCTAACTTGCTCACGTTTATTTTCTCTACCCTTAAGGGATTAAACAGACTTTCAGGTTGCTTGGTGGTTAAGAATAATGGATTTTTCCTGTAAACAATATGGAAAGGGAGAGAGTAGGTGGGCGTTCTGGAAACCAACGTGAGCTTGGAGCCTCCAAGGGCTTTCTATGCCCAAACCTCACAGCAAGGACATCTGGTGCTCTGTGCAGCTGTAGAAAGAGCTGTTTTTAAAAATAAACAAAGCTCTACTATTTAAAGGGGAAACTGTGGTTTTTGTTATTTCAAAGTTACAAATGTTCCCCCTTCTGTCAGCCTTTAGCACTGAGCTCTCTTCCGGCCACCCAGCACATCCAAGAAAAAGGTCTCAATTTAAATAGTAAAATAGTACAGAATAAAATTCTTCACCCGTGGAAGCCTGAATTATGTAAGCCGCAGGAAACAATACAGGAACATTCCAGGGGTTGTGATGGCCTGTACTAAATGGAATGTCCCACAGCGGAGGTGAAGGTTGTGGTTCTGTTCTGTTTGGATGGCCTGGGCCACTTCTTGCAAACACGGGCCAGGTTCCTGGTGGTTAATCTCTAGTTCTGAAGGCTTCAAATGATTCACTGTGCAGTGAGTCATGCTTCTACAATGGCTTGCTTGCAAAGCCCTGAAACTTCTCAAACAGCGCAATGCTGGCCACTGGGTCTGTGACCCTGACCCAAATCCACCCAAAGACCAGTGACTTAGAATGGCCTTGTTCATGTTTCTGCTTTCTCTTGCTTTTTCCATTCGGATTTTTTTTTCTTTTTTGTTTTTTGGATGTCAAGGAGCATTTTTACTTCCAAAACTTTTCCAAGCCCATTGTTGGGGTCTTCCTTTTTTAGCAAAACTCTATAGACTTTCAACATTAGGATCTCATTTATGAGCCAGATGACCTATCGGGTGGAGCCCCAGGCTCTGGCTTTCTGGTCAATCTGAATGATTTGGAGGGGGCGCCTGGATGGCTCAGTTGGTTAAATATCTGACTCTTGGGTTTGGCTCAGGTCATGATCTCACAGCCCTGCGTCTGGCTCTGTGCTGACAGCATAGAGCCTGCTTGGGATTCCCTCTCTCTCTCCTCTTCCCCTATTCTCTCTCTCTCTCTCTCTCTCTCTTTCTCAACAAATAAACATTTTTAAAAATCTGGCTTTTGGTCAGATTTTGGTCAACTCTGGTTTATGAGAGAAAGGAGAGAGAGAGCAGAGAATATGGCTGAAATTTTGACTTTTATTCAAGCTTTATCAAGATTCATCCAAAGGATAAATTTGTCCCACAGCCTATGGAACCACCAAATAAGAGGGAAGTACATACACAATCTTCCAGACCTGCTATTCACAAATGAAAGCCTTCTGTTCGCGATGCTTGTGAAAATAACAATACAAACTTAGCCATATCCTAGTATTGATGACCACTCAGCAAATGGGAAAAGCGTTTTCTTTGCTCCTTATTCTTACTTGGATTCCGATTGTTCCAATTGGCGTATATGTAAGTTTCAAGTGGATGAGGGTGTTTTCCTCTCTGCTGTGACCCCTTACTTCATCTGCTTTTCCGCTTTCCCTCCTTCTGACTTTGCGAGAAAAAATATGAACAATGTTGATAAATTCTAAACCCCTCTGCGTCGCCGGGCTCCCTTTTTGTTTTCTCACTCGCTTTGCCCCCCATTGCATGGCAATCCCTAATCCTCTTCTTCCTGATATTAGTCATTTCCACCCCCCAGCCCCCAGGCTCACATTACCCAATCATCTGCCACAAATCTTGGAGCAATATTTGTTTTGAAATGAGGGAGACGAGATGGAAAAAAGTCAGAAGCCGTTGGCTTTCCTTTCGCTTCACAAAACATTAAGTATTACTGCTCAATGCCTCATCTGAATCTCAAAAATATTAATCACAAATAACGAATGACGTGCCCTACCTATCACAGGAAGACTAGCTCAAGAAACTTGCCAGCAGCCCACAAACGAGTCCACTTTCTTTGTATCTTGCCACGAGGCTCTCTACGTCAAGCTGAGAAGTTAGTATTGAGGACACAATTCTAGCCTGCACATTTCAGGTAAGTGTGAGGTTTGGTATTAGTTGCTGATTTCATGCATCTGTTGATACCTTTGCTGTCTTTGGAGATAAATAGCCAAAAAGTATTTCTTCTTGTTTCTTCATTATCCACTTTGCAGTGTAGGGTCCAGTGGCCCACATGCAGTGCTATTACATAAGCTGATATCTCTTTTGAGCCATAAGATTCCCAGGAAAATAGGACTTAAAGTTTTAAAAATGGAAGGCACACCGACTCAATCCACAGGGAATGTCCCCATCTGTACCAAATTGTAGTTCACCATGTCCGATGTAGTAGCCCCATTTCCCGTCTGAATCCCTGTCAAATGTATTCCCGTCTTTGAACATGGTCTCTGCCAGTCATTTATCCCTTCCGTTCATAAGCTTTAAAATCTTTAAACCCAAATGCAAGACTGAACTAGGATTTTCCCTGGCTGTTGGCATGGACCTTTGTTCTTGGTGGGGGCTTGTCATTAGCCATAGTCCTTCACAGATGATGGACTTGGCTTGCTTTGTTAGGTTAAGTTCCTTTGGCCATGAAGCCTCGATCTCCTCATGTGGAATAAATGGTTGATAAGAGCCCCCGTCTCATTATCGAATTGCAATAGTTAAGTGAGGAAATGAGCAGAAAGCCTATTACAAACATGTATTGGCATCCTCAGAAGAGCTCGGTAAATGTTAGAGAAAGCACCACCATCATCATTATCACCCCACATTTGAAACAATTCATGACCATTCGTGGACACTTAAAGGCTTTTACTACAGAAACATCATTACTGTTGACATACCATCGTCATAGACATGACCGCTTGCAGACTGCCTCCACTATATCTCTTCATTGTCAGCTACTTGTAATTTGCCTTGATTTAATTTAATAAATCTAGTTCAGTTAAGTAGAGGAAAACAGAAGAAACAGAGGGGAGGCAGGCACTTCAAGCTGTACATAATAAAGTGGGCAAACTGTAAATCTTAGTTAGCCCTAACCTTAGTTAGCTTTAGTAGCTCTAAAGCAGCAAACTGTAGCACAGAATGTAAAAGTCTAAATCGTAAAGAGAAATGAGAAAAACCTGACCCCCTCTGATTTGTATGTTAAAAAACTAACAGGAATAGGGATTAAAGGTCTAATGTGATCAGTGAAGATTTGCTTCATGTCAACTACAGTCTCAGTCTGTGTCTACATTTTTATCTCTGTATCTTATTTCTATTTCTTGTTAATTTTTAACGTGTATTTATTTTCGAGAGAGAGAGACAGAGACTGAGCGTGAGTGGGGGAGGGGCAGAGAGAGGGAGACACAGAATCCAAAGCAGGGTCCAGGCTCTGAGCTGGCAGCACAGAGCCTGATGTGGGGCTTGAGCCCAAGAACCATGAGATGATGACCTGAGCCAAAGTCGGATGCTTAACCAACTGAGCCACCCGGGTGCCCTGAGTATCCTATTTCTTTTTTTTTTAATTGTTTTTTCAACGTTTATTTATTTTTTTGGGGACAGAGAGAGACAGAGCATGAACGGGGAAGGGGCAGAGAGAGAGAGGGAGACACAGAATCGGAACCAGGCTCCAGGCTCCGAGCCATCAGCCCAGAGCCCGACGCGGGGCTCGAACTCACGGACCGCGAGATCGTGACCTGGCTGAAGTCGGACGCTTAACCGACTGCGCCACCCAGGCGGCCCCTGAGTATCCTATTTCTAAAAGAATGTGTTCCTTTCTCAGAGCATGGTTGTTTCTTAAGTCCCCTTGCTTTTTGGGGCGGAGGGTGGTGGTGAATGTACGTTTTAGTCCAAATCGCTATTGTGTTCGTACTCAATTGGAGAACAGAACTATTATTCTTGTTGCTCTAAATGGCAAGCAGTGGGGTGACCAGCATTCGCGTTTGCATGTCATGACCCAGTAACTTGAATAAAGATCATGAATATGTATTTCATGGCAGGGAGGTTCTTAAAGCTATAATTCTGTGTTTTCCACCAGGAATTCAAAAGTGTAATCAGAATAAATTCCACTCAGACGTTTACTCGGCTTAAGCTACTTGCAAAGAGCAAATAAGTGAGTGAGATAAATAGGGTGGAAACAATGTTCTCATGCCACAGGGACAAGTTCTGAGAGGGATGGGGCTTCCTTTCGCCCTGTGTGAAAAAACAATCCCTGGCTCTTGGTTCTGTTGTCCCCTTTCCACCCAGTGTTTAAAGCCGTTGCATTCACAGGATGGTCACATGACTCTGGCCCTTGGCGTCTTGAATTCTGTCCCTTCTGCGCTGCTGGGAACTGGCACATGATGGTACACAAACACAGCATGAGCTTTATTCGTGCCAAGAGGACAAGCCGTCCCTTCTCTAGGAAGGTTACATCCTGAGAGCTGGCCTTTGGTCAAAGATGGGCGCTCTTCACCAGACGGGAGCCCAACTCCTGAGGGGTGACCCAACATGCCATTCCAGACCCTTGACACTGGCCATAACAATCCATGCTTGTTTCACGAGAAACACAGCAACTCTGAGCTCCAAATAACCCCTGAACCCAAACGATCTGTCTGTGTGGGACCTTTTTGCCTGAACCCAGGGTCAAGGGCGGCCTCACGTTTTAATTGCTCTCCAGTGGTGATTGTTTCATTGGGGGAGATCGGGGAAACTTGTCACAAGCATTGATCCTAATTAAAATTTTGGACACTGAATATTTTTTTTAATTTTTTTTTTAATGTTTATTTTTGAGAGAGTCAGAGACAGAATGCGAGTGGGTTAGGGGCAGAGAGAGAGGGAGACACAGAATCCAAAGCAGGCTCCAGGCTCTGAGCCGTCAGCACAGAGCCCGACGCAGGGCTCGAACTCACGAGCTGTGAGATCGTGACCTGAGCCGAAGTCGGGCGCTCAACAGACTGAGCCAACCAGGCGCCCCTGGACACTTAATATTAATCAAATCTAAGAGTAGAGAGATGGTTCAAAGAGTGAGGACCTCCTCCACCCCAATTCCAGCAATGAAAGCGTTACAAAGCCTGACTTTTCATTAAAGGTTAAAAAAAAAAAAACTAGCTTATCCATTGCTGAGCAGAAATAAAAATTCTTGCTGAGGGGCACCTGGGTGGTTCAGTCGGTTAAGCGTCCAACTTTAGCTCGGGTCATGATCTCTCAGTTGATGAGTTCAAGCCCCGTGTTGGGCTCTGTGCTGACAGCTCAGAGCCTGGAGCCTGCTTCCGATTCTGTCTCTCTCTCTCTCTCAAAAATAAATAAACATTAAAAAAAATATGTTTAATTCTTGATGATACTCATTTTAGTCTCTGAATCTCCTTTGTGAAAAGGGTGGGATTTTTAGCATTTTTCTGGGTCTGGTATGTCTTATATATATATTTTTTAATGTTTATTTACTTTTGAGAGAGAGGGAGACAGAGAGTGAGTGGAGGAGGGCCAGAGAGAGAAGGCGATGCAGAATCCGAAGCAGGCTCCGGGCTCTGAGCCGTCAGCCCAGAGCCCGACACTGGGCTCGAACACACAGACCGCGAGATCGTTACCTGAGCCGAAGTTGGACGCTTCACCGACTGAGCCATCGAGGCGCCCCTGGTATGTCTCATATTTTGAGAAGCCGATGGCATACGGGACAAAAAAAAGAGAAAGAGGGAGAGAGAACACTCCCTGGAAAAAAACCCTGCTGTCTTCCCTGAAATTGGGCCATGAACTGACACTGTCATTGTGTCACCCATCTTCAGTCCCAGGACTCAATGTGGCAAGGTCCCTGCAAGCCAAATGCCATTAACCAAATGCTATCACCACCCAAATCTCCATCTGCCTAAAAGGATGTCTCCATCCTGGAAAATGGTCCCCTTCACTGGAACATAATCTGAAGCCTCATGGGTCTATAGAGAAGCTCTCCATAGAAAAGCCAGCATGATAATTTAAGAGTCCCTTGGGGTTTGTTAGAATGAGGTTCTGGCCCCGAACAGTTGGCATCCAAATCACAGTTCCGGTTACACATACTCATAACCGGAATCGAGTAGCCAGTCTCCTGATCTGGAAATTGCATAATTGCAGAGATTTCACTAGGTCTTATCCCCACACAGAAGTTCAAGAGTACATTCTAGGATATTCCCGTGCAAAAGAATGAACCTGGGCCCCTTCTTCACCCCATGTACAAAAATGAACCCAAAATGGATCAAAAACCAAAGACAAGACCTAAAGCTATAAAATGAGGTGCCTTTGCTATATATCTTAGCAACTTTGGATCAGCCAATGATTTCTTAGATACTATGCAAAAAAGTGTGAGGAAAAACTAATGATTTGGACTTCAAAATGTAAAACTTCTGCGTGTCAAGACACTATCAAGAAAGTAGAAAGAGGGACGCCTGGGTGGCTCAGTCAGTTAAGTGTCCGACTTCAGCTCAGGTCATAATCTCACAGTTCATGGGTTCGAGCCTGACATCAGGTTCTGTGCTGACGGCTCAGAGCCTGGACCCTGCTTCGGATTCTGTGTCTCCCTCTCTCTCTCTGCTCCTCTCCCACTCATGCTCTGTCTCTCTCTCTCTCAAAAATAAATCAACATTAGAAAAATTATATTAAAATAAAGTAAAAAGATAACTCACAGAAAGGGAGAAAATTCTTGCAAATCAAACATGACAAAAGTCTAGTATCCAAAGTATATATTTAAAAAATCTTGCAACCCAACATAAAAAGATAAAATGCCCAAGTTTAAAATAAGGCAAAGATTTGAAGAGACATTTCTCTGAACAAGATCTACGAATAGCCAATAGACACGTAAAAAGATGCTCAACGTTATTAGGCATTAGTGACGTGCAAGTCAAAACCAGAATGAGATAGCACCTTACACCCAGTAGGATGTCTACAGCTAAAAAGGCAAATAAACAAACAAACAGAAGGTAACAGGTGCTGGTGACAAGGTGGAGATATCCGAAGCCTCATACATTCCCGTTCGACATGCAAGAGTTCTTGGCACTGTAAAAAACAGTTTGGCATATCCCCAAAATGTCAAACATAGAGTTACCACGTGACCTAGCAAATCTCCCTCAAATG